ATGTCATAAATTTTCATAAGTCAGCAGTTAAGGGATGATATCAATTTTACAGTCTATCAACTCAACATGCGAACAATCAAAACATTTTATAGTAAGGCTATTTTCAACGATGTATTGTAAAAACTCAAAATCTGCAATTCCGTTGGGACAGTGTGAGGAAGTGAACCTCAAAGGGACCGGTTTGGATGTTTTCAATCTTTTGACCTAGATCACCCAATAGATACAAACCAAATTTGATAGATATGACGTGGACAAGGACACATAAAAGGGGCAAATCGGAATAATTTTCATACTTTCATAATCTGCTTGATGGTTTATAGTCTGTGTAGGTAGTGTCTAAGTCAGATTCATTTAAAGTTGTTTGTCCGATTGTGGAGCAACGGCTCTGGGCTATGGGGGAAAGTTTGTCCGACGCTACGACCAACATCGAGATCGAACACAGGACTCCCCAGGTTAGCAAGCCAACGTCTTATCTCTTGTCTTTACTCCCTGAGCCACAACGGCTCCCTGAACACAATCGTGTAAAGCTAAATCACGAAAACCGATTTTCACAGAGCTAGTGCCTCTTTACGATTAATATGATTACGATGTCATAATTGAAGTAAATACATCTACATACATGATTTTAAAGATGACATAAATATCTCATAAAAATATCTAATCTTTTATCAATATTGAACGTGGGCGGTTTGTATCTTTAAATGATAAACCTATGTACTGTGAGTCATTAGTTGCTGTAAAACTGTGATTATTTTATCTCACATTGCCTTGAATAAAACACTTGACGTGTTAAAATAGGAGTTCAATTTACGTTAATAACAGTTTAAGCTGATGTAGCAATTAGCGATTTTAACTGAATAAATAATAGTGATGTTTACAACAATATATTGATATAGCATTGTCGCTAATATATCATCGTCCCAAATGTAGGAAAAAACTTGGTTTTAAAAAATCTTAACGGATATTTTTCATAGTATACTATTCTGTATTTTTTGTGGGTTTTTTGTTGTTTCTTGGCAGGTACAAATTAAACAAGCGCATTTGAACATCCGTCATGGTTTAATGGTTAAATTGGAATTCTTTAGATGGGGATGCTTTTCTTAAATGCGAAATTGAAAAAAAATTGCATTAACAGAGATGTATGTCACGGTTATTTGGACCTTCAATATTAAAGCGTAATTAAACTGCAAAGCGCTAATTATTTTTCTTTTTTTTTTCTTTTTTTTAAAAAGCATGATTAAAGGTAAGATGTCAGAATGTGGCATTACCTGATAATGTAACCATTTCTGAAAATAATATAAGTACAAAAGACAAAGAAATCGGTTAGCCCTACAGACCAAAAACTGTATTTACAAGTCTTCCTCCTGGATTATTTTGCGCCGAACGAAGTTAAAGAGGTTTTTTTTTGTTTTATTGGTATTGAAATGGATTCCGACCGTGCGATGAGTTTTTTTTCAAATTTGTAGGGATAAGGAAGACTTTTTGAAAGTCAGAGAATTGTTTATGGCAAAACGTCGATTCCCCGCTTGTACGTCACAGGGAGTAGGGCCGCATGTCCAATTTCGTGGGTTTTCTCCGGAACCTCCGGTTTCCTCCCAGAGCTAAAGAACTCAACGCACATGCGAGTTATTAAAATAAAATTGAACCATATGTTAGTCGCAAAATGACATAGTTTATGTCGAGTGGATGTTAAACCCCATTTCTCTCTCTTTTTAAGGCAAAACGAAGCAGAGTTAATAAAAAAATATGATGGGATTGATCATCGGTCATTGTTCTTGATAACGATAAGAAGATACTTGCCGAAACGTTGTGCTGGTATAATAAAACCAGTGATGTTTCCCATAAAAAAATGTTTTATTTTAATGTGTTTCGCAATCGCTAAATGCAACTTAAGATTATGATGACTGGATCATTGAGACTAATCCTAAAGAAATGGAGAATTAATCACATTGCGCATCGTCGGTGGGAGTCAAATGATTGTATCTTGGGTTTTCAAAATTGTCCCCAAGAGAGCCAAAGATCACATAGAGGTTAAAAAGCAAAATATCGAACAGATAAGTCACGTCAAAATGTCGTATGTAAAATGACGTATTTCTAAAGATTTTCAGATTTTCTCATAGGGAGTGCATGCTAGTTATAAATTTCATACAGCAAAGACGTATCTCGTATTCACCTTTACTTGCTTCAATGTCATAGTTTTCACACAGTAAAGAGTCAACCATAATTTCAATAAAATATAATTAACCATTAAACAATACTGGCTATTTCTCATTTGATTGTACTGTTTTGGTAAGATTCAAAGTTGATTTTTTCAAGGAAATACGACATCTTTGCTCTAATTGTTGATATTTTTTTTGTAACACCCTGTATTCGACAGTTTTAAACAATATCTATAAGACCCATTTTTATACGCTTAGATATACGACAATTAGATGAAAAGATGCGCAAGAAAATCCTCCTTCTAAAAAAGCAAAAGAGTGAATTTCGTAAAATATGCCAGATACGACGGCATAAGGAAGAACCTATTAAATTTCCGAAATTATTCCTTATTTAATCGCCAATCACAAGACCTTGATGTGATAGAAGCATAAGGGTGAACAGTATCGAATTTATATATCGTAATCTCGTGCTTGTATTTTATTGTATGGAATTCGTATAAATAAAGACATTGCTCGCTGTTTTAAATCAAACGTATAGGAACACTGTTTATATAATAATATTTCTACTGAACGATAGGAAAACAATCACTTGTCATATAGTTAGTTGTTCGTGTAAAATATGTATCTGTATGCCATATAATGCTACTTGTTACGTGCCTGAGACGTTGTTTGTTTTATTTTGAATTAACGCCCATTATTATCAGCTTGATAAACGGTTCAGCCCCTCCTTACCTGTTCACCGATAGCCAATATCATATCAGCTATGACAAATATTATCGACCAATCAATGTATGAATTAGATTTGGCGTTAAGGGTGAAGAGTAGACACTGGAGTATGCTGAATCATTTGACAAATTTAATTACATGGTCAACACAAATTACTATTTACTCCATTAATTGTAAATCTTCAAGTCGGTGGTACAATAGAACCGTTCGGACTAGAATCTTCCCGTCAGTGTACAGCAGAACCGTTCGCACTAGAATCTTCCAGTCAGTCGTTCGGGCTAGAATCTTCCAGTCAGTGTACAACAGAACCGTTCGCACTAGAATCTTCCAGTCAGTCGTTCGGGCTATAATCTTCCAGTCAGTGTACAACAGAACCGTTCGCACTAGAATCTTCCAGTCAGTCGTTCGGGCTATAATCTTCCAGTCAGTGTACAACAGAACCGTTTGCACTAGAATCTTCCATTCAGTCGTTCGGGCTAGAATCTTCAAGTCAGTGTACTACGGAACAACTCGGACTAGAATCTTTCAGCCAGTGTACAACAGAACCGTTCGCACTAGAATCTTCCAGTCAGTCGTTCGGGCTAGAATCTTCCAGTCAGTGTACTACAGAACAACTCGGACTAGAATCTTTCAGCCTGTGTACAACAGAACCGTTTGAACTAGAATAGAGTCATCAGAACCGTTTGAACTAGAATAGAGACATCCAGTCAGTGTACAACAGAGCCGTTCGGACCAGAATCCTCAAGTCGGTGTACAAGTACAACAGAACCGTTCGAGCTAGAATCTTTAGGTCAGTGTACATTATAACCGTTCGGTCTAGAATCGTCAAGTCGCTGTACAACGGGGCCGTTTATGTTCTTACGTGTTGTATAACTGATTGGTGGAAGCGGACATAAAATCTTTGCCGTACAGTCGCGTAAGCTCTTAAAACTGATGTAAAGGAGTGAATATAAACGTATGGAATGAAAATGAAAAATTTGAAATAAACAACCGGTCAGGATATATACACTGATCTGTGATTATAAAACATCTACTAAATTCTACAATAGTTGCCTAATTTATACGGAATTGATGGCATATTCCATCTAATTTTTTGGAACAATCGGGCATAAGAAAACGACCCATCGGTACAAAACGGATTTGTTTCAACGGAAATGGTGATGAAGGTTTAATTGCAATTGTTTCCCCATAAACAAAAACTTAAAATTTCTTCCTAATCTGTACTAAATAAGTAGAGTGTCTTTTTTTCAAAGGATGGTTCCTGATATTTAACAGTGTGCGCGATGCTAAGTTTAAAATACTATATATATCTATCGCTATATTAAATACAAGACATAGCCTATCAAAAGGAAATACAAAGATTTCTTTACCAACGAACGTTTTAAAACACGGAAATATTTATTTCAGTTGATTCGTGTGAATTATAGATACTGCCGAATAGAAAAAAACCTAAATTGTTTTATTCAGATAAATTTTCATTTCAAAGAACCGTTCAAAAATCGGTCAGCAATATTTTTGTTATAAAGGAGTCATGCTTGTTTTGTTCTTTAAGTTATGACGAATACATTACACGGGACGTTCACCTGGTTTGGTTGTTTATCACACTTGATAAATGAAAATAGTATCTATAAATATACCTTTTAGAGAAAACTAAACAAAATAAGACTGCTTGCGTAGACTTATATACGAGACAGGGTATAAACTTATTATTGGAAGTGCAAGTCTTGAGAAATGCAGGGAGGTGATTTCAGGGAAAGTTACCACAATTATACATTCAATCCCTCTCTTCAGGAGACAAAACAGCAACTTAACAACTATATCCATCATGGAGGACACGTACCAACACACAGCTCAGCGGAATGCTTCGGCGCTGTACCTCAACGATACACCACCTATAACCAAGAAAATACAAGTTCGAATCATTTAAAATTCGAATCTTCGACGCCGCAACCGTTGCCAAGAGAGTATCATTTTACTGTTAATGGTCGCGTTTCTTTTAATCAAAATGCCACTAGATCTGACTATTCGCACGGTTCAATCAGTGTGTTTCCGACCAATCTCAACCAGCTATATTCCACTGAGGAGAATAAAGACTTTCCAGGATTAAAACAAGTCATGAAATGTGAAATAAGCAGTCAGACAGAAGAAGAAAAACTGTCAGCTGAATCCGTGCTCTCTGGCGAATGTACAGTATTGGGAGCGGATAGGGGAGTTAGTGGGGGTGATGACGAAAAAGATACCGCCCAGAATCAGAAAATTTCGGAACCCGAATCAAGTTCAGATATCAAGCCGTCCATGTCATATATTGCCCTTATAGGTAAAGCCATCCTAGAATCATCCGAGAAACGATTAAACTTAGGATCTATATACTCCTGGATAGAAAGCAAATTTCCTTATTATGTAAATCGTGGTCAAGGTTGGAGAAACAGCGTGCGTCACAATCTATCTTTAAATGAATGTTTTATAAAGGCAGGAAGATGCGAAGATGGTAAAGGCAACTATTGGGCCATACATCCAGCGAACTTACAAGATTTCATGCGTGGTGATTTTAGACAGCGTCGGCGATCTCGCAAACGTGGTCGTAAGAAAAATCAAGGAATGAACATATATAACATGCACAACGGATATTTATCGCCTCCACCAGTTTCCTCTTTCTCTGATATTGGATTGAATCCCGTCTCAATGACAACTGCGATGAGTCCCCTGTATTCGCCTTATACCGAAGCTGAGCGCAGAGCTTATAAATTAGACGAGGCTTTAAGACAACAGGGTATCAATAGTCATTTCTGGAATTGGGCGACACCCGGTAATTACACTGGTATCAACGGTCAGGGCGTTAGTTCAGCGATGTATGGACCAACATCTACTCAGTGGTCAAATTATCCTGAAAATTCTCCATCTACAATGTATGCGATTAATCCCAGGTAAAGTTTTAAGCGAATATTTCTCATTTTACAAAATTAAAAATTACTTGTAAGACATATATTTCAAACCAAGTACATATATCGCAAATGTCCAATATCTAATATATAACTATTTACTTTCTTATTTACTTATTCAAAGGGGCATTATGTAAGATTTAGATACAGCGCTGGTCGTTATCGCTATAATATTTCCAAAATAGATAATGCAAAATGAATATATTGAAAAAAAAATTCATTCAAGTTACTTTATTTTGAGCGAAGTCATCTATGGTTGTAGTTTTGACAATATGTGTGCATTGATCGTAACCACCGTAGCAATTACACACGAAAGAGTAATATAATATTAATTATTATTTTAAAAATAGCTTATATTAATTTTGATATTAATTAATAACGGTATCTTAATTAATGCAAAAATGTTAACTCTTGATTAATATATTAATTGAGACGCTAAAAAAACCAATATGGACGCCCGTGTTATTTTATAAATTTATGTATTTTAATACATAAATTTATGGCATTTAATAACTGAACTAGAATATACAGGTCACAATAACATTCGATGGAATATAATTACTGACTGAGCGACTATAGATAGGCATGCCTATCGAACCGTCGCTCAGTAATAAGCAGTAATTGTGACCATAGAATTGTTACTGTGTATATTATAAGCTATAGATCTTTTTTCTAAATATACCTATGCCGGTGATCCTGTTTATTTTTGTTGCCTATCTATAGTCGCTCAGTCAGTAATTATATTCCATCGAATGTTATTGTGACCTGTATATTCTCGTTCAGTTATTAAATGCCATTGAAACAATTTAACTTATAATACTTATTGAGTAGATTTTAAATTGTTACCTATATAATGTCTACTTTCAGGCATCCTATGTGATTTGAAGCCAAGAAGAATCAAGTCAATAATAATTGAATTTTGTCACAATTTTACCATCAGGGTACAGGTGTAGCTAGGCAATGTTTTATGTAAATATTTTCCTTGCTTCCCTTGTTTGTAATTTATTGTTATGTATTTTTAACGTTCATTGTCAATGTGCAATACAACGGAGTCAACGACCGTCCATATTCTTTCTACGTATGTTAAAAAAATATTATTTTAAAGGCTCGATGCGTCCTTTCCATTTTCGCTAAAATGTCAAATTTCTCACGGCTTAATACACGCTAAATATGTAATCACTTTGATTACTTTTAATTAACAAAACAAAATCGATATATTAACGCCAGTAGGTTTCTCTGCTACCAATACAAGATGGCGGCGCCTTGTTACCCTCAAGCAGCATAGATCGATGGAATTTCAATTTATTATCACTATGTGAACGGAATTAAACCATTTTTGAAGTGGTATTCGTATTAGAGATCAAATTTTCACAATATTATTTAAGGAATTCCAATAGCGCAAAATGACGCATGGGGCCTTTAACTTAAATGAATGTTAGTCGATAGAACATACGATATATTTGAAACTAAAACCCGAACCTTTTTTATTGTATACCTGGGCCCTGTTTCACAAAACATAAATCTCCTTAAAGGCTCAATACCACTCTTGTTGTAACTGAATAATATGTCCCAATCTTTATTCTGGTCAACAAGTTGCACTATTTTACAATATTTCAATTAATTGATGATACAAATTTCATCTTAACACACCTTATTTCAAAATTTTGAAAAATTCAACATAATGGTTTGAAACGTCTAACGTAAACCTTTTCAAATGAAACTTCGATTTAAAAATATTTTCGAACCCTCTGGACAAGTAAAAAAGGATGTAATGGATAATTTACACAACAGGTAGGACACTTAAACATCTAGTACTTAGATAGAGATATTATTTATTTTCTGGAGCTTTCAAGCCAGCAAGAGTGTTATTGTCCCTTTAAAATCATCTTAAACTAAGATTATATCCTAACTTAAGATAGATGCGTTTCACAAAACGATTTTAAGCATTTTAGATAAAATCCACTAAAATAATATTTTAATTTAAAATTTTATCTTAACTTAAAATAGTGGCGTTTCACAAAACTATTTGAGGGAATTTTAACTTAGGACATCGTCACCCTCTCCTAACTTAAAATCACGACATTAACAAACATTGATTAGGGCGACATTGTTAGATCTATTGTGACATATAGATATATTTGGAATAATGTTAATATTGCCAATGGCCCGGGTCACATTTTTAACATACTATCATTCACTAAAACAATTCTCATTCAATTTCTTTTCATAGCATGGGAAATATAGCTGCGGTCCAACCGTTTATTTTATTGTAAGGCAATTGAAGCAATTAGATGACGCCCCAAATTAAAACCCCAAGAAAAAAACCCACTCAAAACCCCAGTAAACAAAACTCTTTGTAACTATGTTATATATTACCATATGATTCAAGTATAAATTATACTATTTTCAAATAATTAATAGACAGAATAAAAGACCTAAAAGAAAATCTGAACTCACTTCGTCTAATGTCATGGAAAGAAGAGCACTTTATCTATAAAAAAATAATATCTTCGTTTAAAATGGCCAATTTCTTGGTATTAGAAGGCCTACAAAACTAAACATGCCATATGCAAAGTATTTACTCATATGGTTTTGGGGTTATCATAATTAAATTTTGTAAAATGATAAATCAATAATCTTAAATATGTTTATTGAAAAAATGTTATAGGCCTATTCGATATTAAATTTTAATATCATAAATTTATTATTATTTCTTAATGAAGGCTTATGTCAGAGAAGTTTTATATAGGAGCCAAAGATATTTTATCTTGGAGAAAAAGTCATTTTAATTAAGATAAATAGGCATTATCCAATAAGGAGTGTGTCACTTTCGTAATTTCAAACTATTTTTGGAACAGTATATATGGGGATGATATTTCAAATCTAGGCATCTAGGCTATTTGGTGGATTAGTTTCAAAGTTGTTAAATACTTTTCAAATTTGACTACAATTTACAGCATAGATTAGTCGTTTGAGTCACAAATATCATATGTTTGTGACAATTCTTAATAGTTTCTGTTATCCATAATACCATAAAACTACGAAATTCAAGCGATTTAGTTTATCGTTACACATTATTTCCCACACTGATCCGCAGTGAATATTCGCTTGGCCGCTACAATCACTGATAAGGATGACATCGATGCGACTTAATGACTACAAAATATTAACTTTTTTCTTTCGACAAATTAAATTCTGAAACATTTTTTTTTTAGTATTAGAAAAATAAATAAAGGTGTTTGAAGTATATCTTGATAAAAAATATTCCATATTTAGCGTAAATAGGTACAGAAAATAGTACGCGGAGGCGTAAAATGGGTAAAACGATATAATTTTGCCCGTACCAGTTCATATTACTACGTTCAATGTAAACAACGCACGTGTGACCATCAATTTGACGTTTTTTTCTGTTTGTCTACTCTTAATTCTTTCAGAAGTACATTTTTTACCGTCTAATCTGATTGACCTGCTCGTGTTCGTTTTAAAACAACAAAAACAAGCCACAGAAGTAATCTTTTTTGGCGTTATCGATGCCATCTTGCTTTGTTGGTAAACATTGTGATGTGACGTCACCCTTAGAACTACAGCGGTCTGACCTTTTAAAGGTCAGTCATCTTGGACAGGTATAAAAGACGGATGTCGCATTAGGTCTGTAAAACAGATCGATTATTTCCATTGAAGCCTGGAGTAAATCAAATGCCAAGGTCACAAATCAAATGCCAAGTTCAAGGCCAACCCACCGATACATTTCGAAATGAATAATCTAGGCTGTAAATTATTGTCGAATTTTAACAGTATTTAACAACTTAAAATTCCCTCAAATAGTTTTGTGAAACGCCACTATTTTAAGTTAAGATAAAATTTTAACTTAAAATATTATTTTAGTGGATTTGATCTAAAATGGTTCGATTTGTGAAACAGAGCACTGGTGATTAAACCTATCAAAATATTTGGGAAATTAATACAAAATATTTCAATACAATGAAAAGGTTCAGATATATTGATCTAAACCCTTATATATATTGGGCCTATATGTACCAGCGATATGCCTTTTTATATAAAATATTCATAAAATTATATCAATCTTTACTTATCTCAAATGACATATTATTCTGTGTTTATCCCATTGATCCCTTTGAAAGTTAGTGCAGGGGGCCCGCACCATTAGATAAGCACCAACAGATGTAACGAATATATGAACAAAAGAACAGACACGGACAGTGTAAACTATCGAGGAACATGGAACATGTAGTCAAAAGAAAATTATGAAATGAAGAGCCCTATTGAACCCCCAGCCGCCATCCCTAATGTTTTGGGTTCCATTGTGCCGAGAGGGGGAACTCTATCGAAGTTCAATCGATATATGTTACCACCGCATAGGTAACTCCTTGTAAGGTCCTTATTCGAAATTTTGATGGAATTATTATAAACCTTGGCGAGTAAGAGAGAGAGAGAGGGGTTGGGGGGGGGGGGTCTGGAGAAAATCCACGAAGTTGGAGGATAGGCGACCCTACTCCTTGTCAGGTACAAGCGGGGAATCTAAACCACATTTGACCCGGTGACAAACCTTATGATCTAACGCACACACGTTAAACCATTAGGCGACCCCACCACCCGCGCCACCTCATTGATGAGTAGGGGTCAGTGATATGATTAAAAGCTGATATGAACGATTCTACTACTGAATAGTTGTAAACTCCTGTATTACCTGTCAACTTGAACCCAGGATCGTCTTAACGCATGGACCCGTTGGGCAGTTTGCCGAGACCCCCACGAACACAGGGACCCTATGCTAATCTGCACAGCATGTTTTTTAATGCTTCAACATACTGATGTTGTGAGAAAAACGGCACAATAACCATAATAT